TTTAGTATTTGTACTCTATCATATTCAGTATTCAGATTTAAAATAATTTGTGCTGAAGTTTAACATTGTCTTTTGACATATGTAGGCCAACTTGGCAAGACTATCGAAAATGAAAGTCACTTGTGCAAATAGAACCGTGCTTGCTAAGATGGACTGTCTAGGGGAGAATCATGCTTCAAGCTTCTATAAAGTCCAGGAAAGAATAACGAAAGAAACTGCAGTTCTACAAGAGGAACAAAGTGCTCTATCCACAATGAAGTCAGCTTATGCTGCAGATCCTAGTAACTCTTCAAACAGTTTATCCAATATATTGCAAGCACATCGTGAAGTAGAAAGTCTGAAGAGCTCATGTCATCCAGGTTTCGTAATTGCATTCGACAACATAGATATGCAGCTGAACAGAAAGAACATGACCAGTACAGCCCAAAACAGAACCTTTCACTGGGTAAACCACAAGATGGTCAACAACCGTGTTKCATGCTCTGAGCTACCAAGTGATAGGCCTAAATCAGATATTTTGGATATCCCAAAKATCAAGTTCTTTCCAACAATCACTGACCACCAGCAACAACGCAATGACTATGCTATACTGGTATCTAGAATAATTGTGGAGTACTTTGAAGCATTTGAATCACTGAAGCAAGCATGTATACAGCATATCCCTCACCAATACACTAAARAAATGTCAGAAARATCCTCAAAGSTATTCATATTTTGCATTTCACATCTTKTCTTTGCACCCTTTTAGATTTTATTCTACATGYRTACTCACTGGTAATGCATTWATAGATTTAGAGGGAAAAAAACTTAAYACATGTAGATGAGATTTCTTGATTATTTCACAAATTGGAACTTTCAATTCAATCAATGATATCACTGATATTAAAAAGATAAAAATAATAATTATGAACACACCAGTTTTTGGAATCCTTTGCATTATATTTAGACCTAATCTTCTCTGAAGGCAACTCTATATCATAGTAAGAGTGAGTAAAAGGCCTGTCAGAGGAAGCTACCCAAGTACAGAGCTGTGTCTAAACACACAAAAAACCTTTGCAACAATATTGGCTGCATAGGAGAGACTAACCAGAATCTAACAATAATTGCTTAAATTGTTCTCCCAAAAGGTCCCCCTTGGAGTTATCTTTAAAAATGAGAATTTAAATGAAGACATGCTGGAGATTCTTCAACAATTTCAGACCTATCTTCCAAGGAAGCCTGATGGCAAGTATGACGGGCAGTTGTTTGCGGGGGATCAGTTATCAGTGGAAAGGGCAGTGAACCTTATTTCATCAGTGGCAAATGGCTACACACCAGAAGATAGGTTCGAAGGCATCCACCTACAACTTGGAGACTGGCATGCTGGCATGAAGTTGCTAACTGTAAGTATGGATCTCAATAACAAATTACATTATTTATTGCAGTTACATTATTGTTTATCACACTGATGCACTACTCAAATATGAGAAAATTGAACTATTTGTTTAGACTAGAGTGAGTGTACTTAAATACCACTAAATTATGCTGATTACTTTGTTTTCTATTCTTTAACACTACTTGTAATTTTTCAATGTAGTGTGTTTTCATTTTTTGTTGCTTTTTTTTTGTTAGTGAAGTTAGCTGCAATTAAATCTCAGTCTTTTTATAAGAAAATGAATTCATCATTTAGGAACCAGGCCGGGTGCCAAGGGAATTATAACTTTAAATCTTAGTTACCCCCTGTATTTTAATTTTTCGATGATGATTACAAATAATTGGGATAAGAATAAAAAATTAAGTGGAGAGAAAAGAAAGTCTAATAAAATTTATTTGACAATTTATTGTGAAAAAGAAATGCAAAAAATGTAGCAGTAAAATTTCAAAGCAGTAAAAGGTAGTAAGTAGTAAAAAGGCACCCTGTAAAGGAGAATAGATGACCTTTCCTCTAATCTCATCAGTACATATTTACTTATAAGTTCCCAATTTGTTATAGATGATATATAAGAGATTTTACAGTGGCCAATCTGAGGTTGATAACTGTACCCTGTTTTCGGACAGGACTATTATTAATCGAAGAAATGTGACTGCGGATACGAAGGACTAAGAGACTAAATTTTCAGTAAGTAACCAAATTTTTATCATATAGTATTGTATTAACACTGCCATTATTGACCAAAGCTGTATTAAGTTAACATTTTCATTACTTAAAGTACTGTCAGTGCAATACATAAGGCCCAGGTCAAACTTTTTCTAACAAAACCAAGATATTCAAAATGTAAAAATGTATATATTATAATATGTTGAGTTTTTTCATTCTCATGTAATTAACTGATGTACATGTATCAAAGAAAGTTTGTGGCTATGAAAACAAAAATTCATTTTGTCTACATGTAGAAGTTTATAAAATTGTTTTATATGTCTATACTTTCTCAATGCAGACAAACTAACTGGGGTCATTTGGACAAAACTGTCCAGTAGAAAAATAATTAATCATCTTGTTTCAATTAGCACAATATTTTTGTTTGTAATACAACAGAGCAGGGACAAATTATCTGCTGCCATTTCAAACAGGTTTTCATCTTCAATCAACTGTTCCCAATCTTCAGCAAACAAGTCATCTAATTCAAAGTCTTCATTGCATGCATCAATGTCAACATCAGTGTCCTCGAAAACTTCTTTGATAATACCAAGGATCTTGTGTGCATGCTGTATATCCCAAATCTCAACAGATTGACATACATCTTCTAATGTGAATAAATGTATCAAGTTATTCATCACTTGTTCAATCTGTTTATCTGAGAAACCAATGAGAAAGGGTATWGAAGTGAGTGTTTTTACATCTGCATTTGCTGTTGAATTAAGTAGCACGAAGCTTTGAAGTGTAAGTTGAGTTTTTTAGCATATCTCTCCAACGTTCGTTTTGGAGCCATGCCTCTGGCGTACCATAAACAACTTGAAAACAGCCACTTTCCACTCGCCTCCTCTCTTTCTCGTCTTCGATATCACTTAGATTGACTGCAGAAATGTAGAGTTGTTTTAGACGTTCTACTTGGTCTTGAATAAGATTTATGAGGGGTGAAACAACAACAACGATAAAAACGACAAAAGGGTAGGCTGCGAAAGAGACTAGGAAATGTCTTCTAAGCCAAAATATAGAGCGAGTCAATCACATGTGGAGTAGAGTGGAAACAATATATCCGTGCAACACTAAATTAAAATATTGAAATTTAGTGAAAAATAGTCGAAGCGTAAAGAAGTGCATGTGACGTACGTTTATGCTTAAGTCGTCCACGGAGCTCAACTAGTCGGCTAAACTTTATAACCGTTACAAATCCTGCTGGAAATAAAGCCAAAGTCTCATGCTAAAAACGTACGCATCTCACAAACTTTTCCGTAGAAGCGATAAACTCCTTTTGCGGTTTATTTTGAGCATCAAGCAAAAATATTAAAAAGGTGCTGCTGGTTCTTAGTTGTCAAGTACGTCTAATAACGCTGAGCTTTGAGCGATTCGAATTCCAAAACACGTTGTTTACACATTTTGTTCGAGTCTTTACATTAAAAGTGCGTCTTGTCTTGATTTTTAGCTTAGACTTTAAGTACAATAAACTCGATAGTTGCCCAGTAGAAACTTTTGAGTACCTCTATAACACGTTGTCGGGGACTTGTTCCAAGCTCGCTTCTTTCGGCCTGTTTCCTACTTCCTGGGACTGATTCATATTCTGGGCATAGTTATAAACTCGTTATAAACTGGAATTTGAATTTGGATAAAATGTACTTTCAGAGCTCAGAGGATACTCAGCTATAAGTTTGACCTTTGCTGATTGTAAAAGGAACATATACCGAGAATAGCCAACCATAATGACATGATGCTGACAAATATGAGGTGTTGTGTAAACACCCCTGTGGTTTTCTTGCCCAAATGAATAAACGCGTTTATCTGAACTTTTTGAAATGAGAAAAATTGTACTTTTGAAACRCTCTAACTTTTCCGCAATAAAACATTTTGAATTCAAAATTCGCAAGAATAGAAATCAYATTTGGAACTAAAAAACGGTGTCGGCGAATTTTTGATTTTCGCTTTCGTTGTTGAGATCAATATAATAATCAATATTTAGGACTCTGGCTTATCTAAAGCAGTGATGAAAAATCGCCGACACCGTTTTGGACTTTAATATATTAGAAAAGTGTTAACGTGGTTTTCATTGCTAAGACAGCAATTCTGACAATTTTGACGCAGTTCAAACAATGTACGGTCAAAATACGCTTTCGTCGGAATATCTTTATGGAGTTTTAAGTTATGAAAATTTAGAAATAATTCAAAAACTACATTTATTTAGCTTTTTAAAAATATATACTTTTATTGAGGTATTTCACAAAACCGACGCGTTATTTGTGTTTATGTGAGTAGTGGTTTGTAACAACGCTAATCTTGAAAAAAGCATGACCCACTATCTATTTCACGGGTATGTTATTTGCACTCTACAACACGCCTCCGTCTACGGTCCAGTAACCACACTAAATTATCCTTGTACATGTATCATTATGATGACATATGAAGGAATTTATCACTCTGTACCAAATTTAGGGGGAAATCAACTATAGTTTCCAGCAATCGGCAAACTTTTTACTCGAAGAGAAGAATTCTTTGCAACACTGTGATAACTATAATGCTGTATTAATTAACAAACATCTCAACTGTAAAAAATAATTACTTGTGTCCTAGAAAGAATGCATTTCATTATAATGAATATAGCTGTAGACCTATTGTTATTGTTTTATAAATATCTAGTCGTCATCTGATTTATTTTTCATCGTTTTCAAGATCGCTAGTTTAAATTCTCTTTCCTATCTTCTTTGTCTCTCCATCATTTCCATCATGCCATTCATAAATGTTGGAAATGATCGAAGTGTCTCGTTGACCATCTAGTCCAAGAGCAAAGTCCAGAAAAATCATAATCGCACAACCCGGACTACAGAAAAGGTTTGATGTTTGAATATTATAGAACAACACCTGCTCTTTCAGATCAGGTACTATGTAGAGTCAGATTGTGGTACCACTCGCGAGATATTTGGCAACATTTATGGTCGCCTGGCAACTGTCATGAAACCGAGGGTAATACAGAAAACTGCCCGAAACACAACAACCTATTATCGGAACATTTTCAAAATTGGCACAATTCACAAGTTCAACGTTGTAGACAATATGATATTCCAATAAGTCGGGAATGCTAGTCACATGACCTGTCACGTGACTTCATATGCTCTATTTTCTTACATTTGCACTAATTGACCACTGCAAAATGAGATAAAATGCTCTAAGAAAAATGTTTGCTCCTCTAAAACATTTTGAATGGTGCAGAATTTCCTATTGTATCCGTTTATGACAACAAAGTTGGGTTTTAATATTTTTAATACAAAAAAACGTCCGTAAAAGTGACCTCATTGAAAAACATGAAAACGAGGCTATGACTTCAAACAGCTGCTAATTGCTAATAATACATTAGAATGTCACCAAAATATATTCATTTAGTGACTATGACGCCATTAAAACGTTTTATACTTTCTTGCAATTGATCACGTGACAGGTCACGTGACATCCAGGAAATGCTTTCTTTTAATTGGATTTTTTTTAATTCCACTCCTTTTTAATACATGATAAAATAATATACGTCTGYCTCAGCGTTGATTAATTTTTTCATATCTATTTCATCCTATAAAACAAAAAAAGGAAGACTTGGTGTTGCTTTTGCATATCTGTGTGGTATACCTGTGTAGTTTGTCACGGACAAAGGTCTGGGTCATTTACTAGTCRGCCATTTTGTTTCAGCAATTTTGTTTTTCTTCGATTTAAAATCAAACTTTATCAAATTTATGTGATTAAATTGAAAGTAGATAAAGTCGACTTCAAGGTAAGTTATTCTTCATGTCTATTTATCATTTGTTCAGTCCATTGAGGTATTTTGTTTGTTTTCTCTATAAGATCTGTAAGTAATCGAGTCGAAAAATCCACCAAGTTGAAAAAACCCTTCGGTACAAAAAGCTAATTTATTTGTTTGCTTGTTAATTAAATGTTTCGACGAAATACTTGTAATAGTAATGAATATCTTGCTCATTCTCACTGTTTCTATCCATATACGAAAATATATTTTCCTCAAGGGAATACTGAACTGAATATAATAATTTGATATCACCAGTTTCGAATGTTTACTTTACTTACGTTACCGATTTATTCATGGTTATCACTTGTATAATTAGGATACTAACTTCTGAAATGGATGAGGGAAGTAATGAAGATGATGACGACGAGAATGTAGTGAGTAATCGAGGACTAAGGAATACAAATTTCCAAAAATGTATTATTTGTCAAACAGAGAAGAATGAGCCTCTCAGAAATGCATTGGATTCATCTATTGAGCGATTTGTTGATGCATTAAGTGCCCGCCTTGACCATGKTTACATTCGAAWTAACCCTATATCAAATTCGTTAAGCAGTRAAAATGTTCTTTGGCATTCTTCATGTTATGAGACATATACTAGTAAGCAGAACTTGAAATATGTAAARAACAGGCAAGATGAGCCAGCCAAAAATGCAGCGCCAAGAAATGATTCATCAAGGTCTCTTCGATCTACTTCAAAAGTGATGGATTGGTCCAACTGTCTCTTTTGTAAGTGTAAGACCCACAAAAAAATTAAAAAGATGATTTGTGTCACCTCTCAAGAATGTACTGAGACTATTAAGTTGTCGGCTGAAATAAAAGAGGATGAGGAAATGCTTCATATTCTAAGAAGTGTTAACTTTGATTTAACAGCCGCGGATGCTGTATATCATAAGGCTTGTCATGCGTCATATGTTAGCAAAACCAATCTCAAGTTCCATACAAAGAAAGAAGAGAGTGTCTTAAATGTGTATGATGAAGCTTTTCTTGAATTAGTGAAAAGTGTAAAGTGTAAAAAAAAGTGTGATATACTTTCTGGAAAAGCATATTGTATGAATACACTGCTAGATAAATACAAGCATTTTCTAGAAAATAAAGGAGTGCAGGCCGAAAGCTACACGAGGCAAAAGCTAAAATCRAGGCTTATATCCCACTTTAAGGACAGTATAGCATTTCATCAACCGTATGACCGTACTAAACCTGAGCTAGTTTATTCCAGTACAATAACACTTAAAGATGTCTTCAATGCTCTTGAAATGAATACTGCTCAAGAGGATGAGAAAGAAACTCCCGCAGACATAAATCACAATGTGGAATCGAGGCAGTTAATCTATAAGGTTGCAAAATTAATCAAAGCTGATATATCCAAAACCAAGGGAATATCAATACGGCCATTAGATACTAATACCTTGAGTCTGAGATCGTCA